TATGTATTCATTCGAAATTTGTCAATTACAGTTTCATATAAACTCAGTATTCTTAATTTTCATAGGTGGTTAGGAAATTGTGCATTGTGACCTAATCCGATAAGAAAACAGTATGCATAAGGTGAATGCTAATAGTGTTTATTTAAGTAAACATAGCTTAATCGCTTGGCTTTAGGACTGTTGACCATAGAATTTAATATGAAACAGATCTGAACTAATTTAACTCGAGTAAATGCCAGTATTAACCCTCACTCAACAGTATATACGCAGACTTTTAACTGTTTACTCATTATTTACCATAAAAAAGACGAGCATACTGATCAGCGACATTTTTTGCTAGTTTACGGCTGTAAAACAGAGTAAAAGATATACGTAACTGACAGATATTTGGTCACATATGTCACTGTACTGTTACTGGAATCATTAAGACAGTAAAACACAATAATATTCTAAACACGTATTTTAACTGATTACCTTGTGAATCTGTACCGGGATACGACAGCAAAGTCGTAATTTTTACGTTACTGAAGAGTGCTATTTGCCACCGATGACCAGCATTTTAGTAATGATGTTGAGGTCCGTCTGTAAATATAAGATCGACTAATTTTAGTGCTGGTGAATGTTTAGATGATCCAGTAAAGCTGTAAATGAGGTATGCACAACACGACATGAAAAAAACTGCTTGTCAATGTATAACCTTTTTCGCCAATCATTAATTCGCATCGATTCGGGTTGATAGAGCATAATATTATTATTAATGGCTTTATTCAATATTATATTTTGGTACAATATAGGATTCTCAGCTCAGAATACTCTACATAAGCCCGGTAACTAAATACTATATGTTGAGTAACGTACCACTTGGTAATTAACGATAAGGAGGAAAAATAGTAATATTAATTATAATGGGAATTCCAAAAAAATAATTCAAAGGGGATGAGCGAGATAAAAAGTATGGAGTCACATTGAGCTTAATATTTAGAACGTAAAGAATGAACACATGCTCCACCAAGAACAATTTTCAGACACATTGTTTACGGTTCCTAACCATATATATTAGAATGATTATCCAGACCCTAGCGAGGAAGTTAAGATTTTATAACCTAAATTCAGTCAGTCAGTCAGTTACAACGTAGGACCAGGCACATACATGCATCGGTCCAAGTAGCCAGTGACCATACCACGTTTGAAAGCAGAGGTTCTCATCCGATCACCGCAGTTAAGCAACGTTGGACCCGGTCAGTACTTGCATAACCTAAATCATCAATCCAAGTACGACTACTCAATTGTATTAGGCAGGCACTAATTATTTACCTCATTTTTAACCCTGAAGATTATATTATACAACTGGTTGTTGAATAAAAACTCATTTATTACTTCTTCTTAGTTTCTCTTGTATTTGTTTCAAAGTACCGCAACGAAAACCTAGTGGTGTGCTAGTAAGTTTGTTACTTCAAATGCCAAAGAAATTATGTGGATGGTAACAATAGTAACTGTGCAAATGAAGAAATAATGTTTCTAAACTCAATAGTACTCACTTAGCTTCTGCCAAATTACTACCCAGATAAATAAATAGTCGTGTAGCAAGTAGATCAGACTTGGAATCAATCGATTCACGACTTCCAGTAGAGAACCTTCGCAATATGAAGGTAATACCTCGATAAGTTAGTTGGTAGTCACCATCTGATTCCGCTGGAACTGTTTTTAATATAAAGAAATTATATAATGACTGTGAATGGTGAAAGAGGATACGCGAAAGCTTTGGTTAAGTATAATGTGATGCCAATTTAAAATTGGAAGCTTAGTATCTATGTGCACGATTAATCCTATATCAGCTGATCACTGGACTTCACTATAAAATATCTAAAAATATGCTAAGTTTATGCATAGTATCTTAATAGCCACGTAAATGCTTGAATTATGGACATATATTGTGAATCCTGAAGATTCATTATGATATAAAATAAGACAATACTAACCATAAAATATGAAGCAAGTGCTAATTATATCCTTGATTCCTAATTATGGTAGTCGACCCAAATATATTAGCTGAAATATATGTCAACGGACCTTCCAGCCCAATTAGCACATATAAATTAATATACAATACTAATATGACTGCAAGCAAACGTTAGAAAATAATTTCACAGACATCAAACTAATGAACTGAGTAGCAGTTTCACCAGAGAAGTCGGTTAGATTACGACAAAGTAACAACCACATATTATGGTTTTCCGACAAGTTGGCTTGAAAAACGTGTACTATGTGCGTTCGTCTACAAACAGACTTAATTTCGAATACTTCCTTCATGTATTGAGCATTACGTTGCATCTTTAATCTTTGCATTTCAATCATGTTAGTTTAGAGATTACACATTTAGTACCTATTACCTCCATGAGTCTAGGTATCTGTTAGCAGGCGAGTTGAAAAGCCAAAAATGAATAAAATAACTGTGGAACATTGGTTTTCAAACCGAGTCATTTATGGTGTCCAATCCAAAATCTTTGTTACGAGTCTGCCTAGATCGACTGATTTCTTTGCGATCACTTCTTGATGTTTCGGTGCAATTTGTTAATTTCCAATAGGTGGTGGTCTAGCCACTCGATTGCACTAACTCTAGTCAGTGTGGTAGTTGTTTGTGGATTTGTTTATCTTGTAGTGAATGCGTTTGTCTCAGTGAAGTTGTCTTTCCGGATGACAGCAGCCATCATACTGGCAGGCAGGAGGTTAGTTGTAATGTGATAATTCGAGTTCTAAGAGAAGATAATTGTTTCAAGAAGAAACAAATAATTTACTAAGTTGTAATGTGTAAGAAGGGGAAGCAGTATTAGTTGCTGATATGCGGTAATGATAATCATGGTAATTTGACTCATTCAAAAGGACTGGACACACATGCAACATCCTTCGTCCTCAAAATAAAAATCTAAATCCGATTATTTACATTTAACACACATTTTTCTTTCAAGCTACTTTGATGAGTGCAAGAATTTATGGCAGAACGTACACATGATTCTTTTCAAGTCCCGTTTGTATGTAATAGAGTTTATTTAAGTCAAGAAATCAAGCACAGACTGGAGGACACAGAAATAATGAGGCCTCACTAAACACAATAACCATTTTAAGAGAATCTTAAACACTTTTACATACCCAGAGGTTTTGTGGATCCGAATATTCTTAACACCTCCTGCATTGTTGGCAAGATAGATGGACTGTTAAAATACTGTGACCTAAACCGTAAAGCAGAAAAGCAATCATAGTTACCAATACCGTAATGTGATGGAGGACAAATCAAAAACTTCGATGATCTATACAAAATTAGGAAACAGGGATACCAACCCTAAGTCTTTGTAAAAATGGGTCAAAGTGAAATTTGACACCATCACCAGGTAATACCAATAACAAATTCATGCTGAAAGGATCCTTGTCACTATACCAAAAATCAACATTTTTAATCGTATGATCTTGTTTTCGTAGAATGTCAATCATTTGTTGGATGGGCATCCCAAGAACGAACTCCCAAAGTTTATGTCGTATCCCTAACTCGGGGACAACTTCAACATCCAACATTTTATTGGTGTTTTAACTAAACCACACGAGCGCAAGCGTTGAGCAAATTTACAACAGCGTCAAAGAACCGTAAAATTTGTAACTACCGCCGTTGCGCGTGAATGGTTCAAATGGTTGTGGACGGAATAGAAGAAGCTTTCGCTTAACAGGCTTCCGTGTCTAGTAGCAGGGGATCACCAAATCCTCCAGGCAGGAACCTAGGTATGTTAACAATAAAAGAGGAAAAGAAATTGGTAAATCATAGTGTGATGCTGTCCTTGGTCCTTAAGAATAGGTCAAGTTGCCTCTTGAAGGACTCCTGAGAAGTCGCTTGGACTAGCTCGGCCGGCAGCGAGTTCCAGCTTTTGACAACTCTTAAGGAGTAGAAGTTGTGTCTACATTCCGTCTTGCTATGTTGTGTTTCCAGTTTCTGGGTGTTACCCCTTAGGTTATTGTTCGGACTAAGCTTAAGTAGGTGTTTAAGAGGATGTCCAGAAGTGTTAAGAATACTATAAGCCATTAATAAATCACCTCTAAGACGCCTATATTCTAGTGGGTAAAGGTCTAGTGAACGGAGGCGTTCTTCGTAAGGCTTAGATTTGAGTCCTCGAACTGATTTCGTGGCTCGCCGTTGGATACGCTCCAAAGTGACCTTGTCCTTTTGGAGTGAGGGGGGGAGTACTATGTTTCCGTACTCTAAATGGGGACGGATGAAACTATTGAAGATTGTGTGGAAAGTTCTTCCGTCAAACTGGCCAAAAATGCGCCTCAACGTTACCAGTGCAAGGTTTGCTCGGAAGGCATTTTTGTCACAGTTAGCGTAAGACTTTAAGTCATGGGGCACCAGGACTCCTAAATCTTTTTCGACTTGGGATACTACAAGAGAGGAGTTTCCTAAGTTGTAACTGTAGTTTGCGACATGTCGCAGATGGACTACTTTACACTTTGAAGTGTTAAAGGTAAGTCCGTTATCGTCTGCCCAACTTTGAAGTCGAGTCAGATCCTCTTGAAGTGCCAGTATATCGTCTTGATTGCGTATCTCTCTCCAAAGTTTCACGTCGTCGGCAAAAAGTAATAAGTCTGACGTTACCTGTTGAGGAAGATCATTTATGTAGATCATTATTGCTACTGGTTAATCACAGCTTTTTCTGTAGATTAGTCACAAGAATACAAAATAACTCCGGAACTTCAGATTCTTAGTAATCACACAGACGATCAAATTTTTTGCAATAAGTATAGAATTTAGCATATGAATTGAGAAGGCGGGTGTTCTGATAGTAGTGTTACTTTGCATCACCGTGGTATGTCACCTTGTGTTGCAAACGGAATGCACTCATTAGGACGTCAAATAAAAAAGATTGGTTCGGCGAAGAGTTCTCTTTTCGGCGAATTGGTTTTCGAAGTGTTACAATCACAAATGTATTTACTCATTTTTCAGGATGATAAGTGAAATTGCAATTACAATAATAATGATAATAAACTTTGTTAGACTTAGTGACAGTAGGGCTAAGTAAACAAAGATAGTAAATAGTTTTAACAGGGAAACTATTGATCGTTTGACTGTTAATGGTTTAAATATTCATCAAAAGATAGATACGGAAATGATAATTGGGAGAGGCGCAGCATGATAAGATAAAATGTATAAATTGCTATCAAATGTAATCAATAGAATGATAGAAACAGATATAAATCCTGTGTTTCCACCGTCTAACATAGGTAACTCAGTTTCCGTTGTAACTAAGACATAAACAAAATCAGAGTCATAGATTATACAGTGTTCGTCTGCTCAACAGTACTGGTGTTAACGAAAACACGTTTCTTACGTGCAGTCTTAGGTTTAGTAAGACGTTTGTTCCAAGGGATTTGTAGTTCCAGGGCCAATGTTGATCACATATGTGATCTGATGGATATATATCCATCAGATTTCTTTTAGTTTGTGCGGAGTTATCGATATATGAACAGGTTAGTTTTTAATCGAAGGGCGAAGGTTTACAATCAGTTACCACGTGTAGGACACTTAAACGGATTAATTTCCAAACCAATGCTATCAATTGGTATTTTGTCAGAAATACTGAAACTGTAAATCCACATAGGCCTCTGAATCTTGCAAGTCACATTGTTTAGTATTTATTATTTCAAATACATGTCGAAACTATGAGTGATAAGCAAACAAAATCTATGGAAGAGGGTATTGATTCATGTGCTTAAAAATCTTCAAGATGGATTAGAATATTCCTGTATATACACGGAGCAGAAAACGAGGGATCTTGACAGCAAAAGCATTGAGACAGGTCACAGGGTTGGTTTTATTAGGAGCTTCTAAGTGTACATTTAAAAATACTTTGTGTTCACGAATCGACAACTGCACCTGTGATAATATGGTATGGCAACTCCAACCGATGTTCGACGTTGTTACTGACTGACTTGGTGTTCACCGTGAGTCTGGCCTAACAATCCTTCATCTACTTCAAAATCTGCAATGGTATAACAATTTACTAGTTATGTTTTGCATTGTTACTTGTGTTCCTATTTATCACTGTGTATTTGTTCAACATTTTTCCAATGAAGTACGTTTCAAGGCATACGTGTTATCAGACTGTTCAAATGTGTTGTGAAAATGCATCACATGTATCTGGTTAATTCCGTCTTCTCATTTCTCCCCACGCATCAACTAAGCGCTATGTCTTTCGCACTCCAGTAGCTTCCTTGGGATTCCTTGTGTTGGCAGATTAAATGGAGCTGTTTCTGTGGCCATACATTATTTAATTGTTTCGAAATAAAAATATAGTAAATTGCTTGCAACTCATAAACATTTTTTGTACTCGGTTTTTAACCACACTCTGAGAGCTAGATATACTACTGAGGTACGTAAACAGAAGTATATATAGTTCAAAACTCCTACTTATTTGTTAAAATTCAAGTCCTCTAACCATTAAGTCACAGATCAAACATTGACTTCAAAAAAAAGTAATGGGAGGTTCGTGTTATCAACCAGTATCACTTACCATCCTTTTTTATTTATCGTTGTGTTTAGTAAATCAAACTCGTCATGGTTGTTGAGTATCACTTTCCTTTTTCAGATAGTTTTCTATTCAAGTACATTTAGACCTATTATGCTATTTACTACTAGCTTTAATAGACCATAGTTGTAAGGTAGAACGGAACGTCTTACTGATTTTTATACCCATCCATCGATGGGCAGTCAAACATTTCACTGCTCTAAAACTTGCACGCACTAAGGAGCATTTAGTTAAGCTTAGTGAATAGCATTCACTAAACCGTTATGAATATGTGCAAAATTGATAAGAATACTTTAACATGTTAGTCTCAAGTATATTCATGAATAAAATCGTCATCTATCTTTATATTTTTAGACTAATTGATTAATAAATTCAAATGAACGGTACTACTCAGCCTGACTTTAAAGAATTCATCAAATTACACGATGATCAACTAAGAGCAAGTGGAATTCCTGCTCACTTTTGGCGTAGACTACACGAGAAACTTTTACATGAGGTGTTGTTGTATTTGATTTTGTTACTTTGCATAAATAATATTTTTTACAGATATATGATGCTAACACAAGTGTTATGATGCAACAGATTGAATATACAAATGACGACGAAGGTGATAATGAAATTGGAAGCGAAGAGTTGACTGTTAATCGTGACTGGGATATTTTAGTTTGTAGTGATCAACTTTTAGTATCAGATAGTAATAAGTATGCAAAATCTAACAAGGATATGATAAATTTTGACAAAATTATTCTAGTATATTTCTCGTTGACCATGCGTGGACTTTTGATGTACAATCTATGAAAGAGTGCTTACTTCAACTTCCTAGTCTCTTAGAACGAATGGCTTCATTAATGAATATAAATACTTTAAATCAACTAAATGAGGATATCGCTTCAAATATTTGTAAAAATGTATGGAAGTAAGTTGCTTGTTGTTTTCCTACATTCTCATGATATACGTTCCTGTAACTGATTGAGATTTCATGTCCATTTGTCTTTCCCGACCCTCATGTACATCACCTAGCCTAGCCTTAGCGTTACACCCCTCTGTCCATGTGTCATTCTTCGATCTGTAATCTCGAGCGAACACAACAGCTTCAGTCGCGAATGTTAAGGTTTTCAATGGTACCGTTTTCCATAGTTAGACCTCAGTAACATCGGATGCTTGATTGCTCTCAATCTGCGACACATGATGACTTCCGCTGGTGATCGCCAATTTGTTAGTGCATCGTTTAGTGTAGCTCTGTAAACTAACAAGAAACCTTGAGATATGATGTGTGTTCGCCTCCTGTAATTTCAATAACACTATTAATCCTCTGGAGTTTCCCCGAAGGGGTTCGAATCTCACTGTTGTCGCCACTATTATGGAGAAAGTTTTTGATTATCTGATCAGAGAACTTTCGACTTTTATAATTTATGAGTTCAGTGCTGGTCGACAGATAAATGCGATTATGTAATATGACCAAGTAATGGCTGTTTGCAAGACCATTATTAATATAAGCTCTCTAATGATTAAAAATCAAAGACAAGACCACTAGCTAGATAAGTAGATTATTTATTTATTTATTATTATTATTATTATTTGAACATATAAATATTGGTACAAGGGGGCACCGAATACATATGCGCCACACAAGTCACTTGATTTATGTGTAGGCTGTGATACTGCACGGGTACCCAGACTGAAGTAGGATATTTTCTTTGAGGGCCACACCCGGAGCCTTCGATCCGAAGGTTTGATCCACAAAGCTGTGGAGTAATGTCAGGAGATGCAGTTCCATTGTAACCGGTGACCAACGATAGGTTCATACGCCATTTGTTTCCTCAGGATCCTGTATCCCATTTGCACTATTGGTTTTGAATCAGGGTTTTTCAACTCCCCTAGGTGAACTTTTCGTGTCTACCAACCCGGTTGAAGCGCCGGACATTTGCTTTTTGTCCCCTCAATTTCCTACACAATGCCCTCGCAGCGAGAAGGCAGTGATTAGGACTTCCTTGGCATAATAATCTAACATGCTTATATACAGAATTTAAATACCTAATTAATAAAATGTCATAGCCGATTGGAGGAAATTATCTTGTGGTCATTCATTCTCTAATCAAGTAAGATTTGGTTGTTGGACTTAATTTTCAGACATCGTAATAGGCTCAATGCCAAGTATACTAGTCTGTAGCTGGTTGGTGGGTTAATAATAATTTTCATATTTGCTAGGAATCTATTTAACTTTTCTAAACCATGTTTTGTCTATTCTCACTTGGAAGATATTGTCGATATTACAAATTATCAACACAGGAGAATATGTCATTGTTATCACAAGTACCTGAGTTACAACAAATAATGTGGTATGTATTGGATGAAGTTGGATCACGTATTCAACATTCTGATGAGCCTACAGGTATTTAGACTATATATATATATGAGTGTGACTACTATTATGTTAAATTTTTACCGGGAATTTATAAAATAAACAAACAAAGTCAACTGTTTGAGGAAATAATTTTTCCCAACAATTTTCACCTTAGGTTCTATAGTTATCAAGTCCATATATTTTTTTCAGGACAAAGGCCAATACAAACCATGCATGAAAGTTTTAAATTAAATCAGTCAGTATTAAATTTTTGGAAGATGAGAACTGTGGGTTTTCACGCCGGTTTTGACTTAAGTGCATAGAGTATAAGTGGTTACGTAAGAGGGATAATACAAGGCGTATGTATATATTCGGTGTTTAGAGGTCGTCACTGAAAAACTCTGGACTTGGTTTTCGTACTGTTCAATACTCGTAAACAAAGCATATACCGCAATATTCAGGGGACTGATACTCTTCATGGAATTTGAGCCCACATCTCTCGTCCTCACAGTTTTGATACTACCACTCAGGTGTTCGTACCGTGGCTGAAGTGTAGCTGAGATATTAACATTGATTAATTACCCCGCAACATCTTACAGTACATGCGATGTCAAGTCACTTATACTAAAGATCTCATTACGAATTGATCAATAGAATTGGGTCAACACAAAAATGGCCTAGATAAATATGACAATGGTCATTACGTAGTAATCAGTGGGCATAAAGTAACATGCAACTTGACAGTACTAAACGTCTATGTATAGTATTAATATTGACTGGTTAAATGTGTTTATTTAAGAGGATTAATCGATATTTATTTAATTAATTTCGGGCTCTGGTTTCCATCATGTTCTGTCTACAAATAACAAATCTCAACTACTAATCATAATAGTTAGTCGACATTAGGGCTTAATAAGCTTGTTTCAAAATTTAATTATGGTTGCCTTCTATTCAATGCTTAATTATATAAATTTTAGTTGCTTGGCTAAAGGAAATCAGAATAGTATTTTATATTCTAGAGTTCTCTTAAAAAATCGTTTGTTTTTTTCACTTGCATATTTCCAGCTCGTATGGTACCATTTTACTATGTACCACGTAACTTATGTTACTCTGTGTTCTGGCCTATTAAAGATTTACAAAAAAATGGTAATCATTCTGCTTGTCATTTATTTTTTTACTCTTAACAATAATGATAACGATAATTATTATTAACTTTTATTGTTATTATTTGTGCTAGTGTACAATTTCACCGAATCTAAGGCATAAGCTATTTGTATAGTTGAGAAGTAACCGTATGAATGTCACCGATATCATTATCAAATTTCTACAACGATTTGGGTCCGAACTCTGGTGTACGTGATACGCGTAATTCGATATGATTGTAGGATGATGTATCTTTTGGAGATCAAAGAGATTGACAATAGTCAGTACATTCTCAGTTTAAAATGAAAAATAAGATTCAACAATGTTATGTAGAGTTATGACTTAGTTGTTTTGGCAAGCGACTTTCATAAATTCATTAACAACTTTTAAACTCGATACACCTAATTCGGTTTGGGAAATCAGATCGTAAATTTGATTAATCACTAAATGTAAACAGACAGTCTATTAAATATGTGATTTCTTTTCCTCTTATTGATTTTTATTATAGACTCATTGAGAGTGACTGCTTGTTATTATTCTTGATCGTGAATCAGGTATCTGATATGATGTGATTTAGTCTGTGTTTAGTGGATCGTCCGAGTATCCAATCTAGCAAAGGTTAGGCGTTCGCGCGCAAGATGGAAGATCTTTGGTGGAAGTCTCACGTGCGCGATCGTGGTTACACACTGCCAGAGAGTCTCATACTAGGACGACACGGTTGTCCAGTGCTTCCAAGTTTTCAGTGGTGGTCTAACATTGATTGATTCATGATCTCAATCAAAACCTTTTAATTAGTATGTTTACTTTTTTTTCCTGCTAGCTAACTATAATAAGATGATTATATTTTTCATTTTTTCTCCTATAATTTAGATAGTATTACAATTGATTATGTAGAACATGTAAAAAATCCTGAATTACGATCTTATTATTTATTACCATGGGAACCAGAGGATTTTTCCAATGAACCTATTGAACATACATACATTTTTACAGATGAATATTTTACAGCAAGTGAAACTAGTTCAAACATTTAATTTATATTATAATTTGAAGTTGGTGTTTTTTTCTTGTTACATGTTTATATTTTTGTATTTTATTAATGTCAAATTATCCTTAAATACATGAGCCTCTTAAATGTATATCACTTTAACGATAGGTTTACTGCCTAAACAATAACCGTAAGCAACGGTTATTTTGTTCAATGTAAGGATGATAACTAATTCTCTTATATACAGTTTAATTTAACCAGTTATATAAATAAGTTGCTGTTTCTAAGTTAATTTACGATAGCTTAACAGTACATTTTCGATTTTTATTTGAACACATAAATATTGGTACAAGGGGGCACCATATATATATATATATATATATATATATATATATATATATATATATATGCGCCACACAAAACAATGAGAATGGGAAAAGAAAAAGAAGGTAAGGAGAAAAACAATAAAGACCACAGATTAGTGTATGGTAGTGTAACAATAATGGGGGAAGCGAAAGGGTACAACCAGAAAGAATTCCTTCAGTTAAGGGAGTTACAATCACTTTCTATGAGGAAAGTAAAAGAAGGTTACAGCAGGATCGCCACTGGCTTGTATTCTGAGCCATATCTGATAACATCTCTAGCCACTGTGTTGTACTACCTCTAGGACCCCAGCCAGGGAGTCGTGAAGGACCAATAGAAGTCAGTTCTTTGCAGCTTTCTATCATACCACGACACCATTTCATACACTGACCACCTCTCCACTTTTTCTAACCAGTTTCAGCGTCAGCAAACAATGCACGACGTGGAATTCTCTGATATGACATTCGTAGAACATGTCCAAGGCACTGAAGTCGATGTTTCAAGATGGTGACATTAACTGAATTATCGTCGCTGTGCCCGAACACACGATGCCGAACCTCTGCAATACTAACATGGTGTTGCCACTGGATATCAGCAATCCTTCGGAGACAACGATGATCAAACACAGAGAGTCGTCTAACGTCCTCAATTTGGAGAGGCCAGGTTTCACAAACATAGAGCAAAACTGCTCCCTCTGACGCGTTGTAGATCCGACCTTTTACAGCCAGACTAACATCACGAATGCGCCAAAGATGATCCAGATTAGCATAAGCCTCTCTGACTTTCATTATACATGAAATTTCACGTATAATGATATTTTCGATACATGTTACGGAGCTATAAGTGCCGTTTCATTTTTTTTCGAGATACAGTATCACTAAATCTTAAAAAGTGAATTGTCGCTTTATAATTCACTGTACTGTCTAAAAAATCGTGTAAGAACTCCATGATAATTGGTATGTATTCTAGTGGATTTCAAATCAGTAATGGTATAATTCATAGCTTGAGACCTATATATATATATATATATATATATATATATATATATATATATATATATATATATATATATATATATATATATATGCATTTATTGTAAACTCATTTATCGCTTACATATTCATGTATTTGGTTTCGAACCCCATTTTATGTGTACGAGATATATTACTCAATCTTCCAAACCAAGTTCGGTAGGTCATCATCAGAAATTACGACTTGGTGATTAAACGTCATAAATCACAGCTCCACTAACTAGTAATTTAAATAAATCTACTGTTATTGAATTCGGATAAACTTTGCTTGTAGCTATTTTTTCCCTCATTATTTAAACACTTTTTTTGTTTTTGTTTTTGTTTACAGTCTCATCGAGTACAAGAAACATTACCAATATGTCAAATGAATGAACCAATTAAACGAGAATATTTTACTGTCTATACGGATTGGTATCAAGTTAAACAATATTTAACTCATTCACAATTTACTTTTGTTGATTCACCAGATAAAGCTGATATTATTTGGATGTATACACATTTCAAGAATTTTGAGTTAGTTTTATTCATATAGTATTAGTTATTTTTCAATGAAAAATCTTCTTTCTTTTTAATATTTCATTTTGTTCTATGAAAATGACTTAAATTGATAGAGTTTTTCTTTTTGAGGATTGAAATCTCGCTGTGATCTTTTATTTATTTATTTATTTGAACACATAAATATTGGTATAAGGGGGCTCCAGTCAGTCAGTCAGCTACAACGTAGGACCAGGCACATATATGCATCGTTCCAAGTAACCATACCGTGTTAGCACAACAAGATGAACACCGGATTCATAGCAGTGGTTAGGTCAAAGGTGGTAATATATAAGAGAAAGATTGCATATAGAGATATAGTACAAGAAGAAAAAATTGGTTCGTAGAAAGAAAGATATGAAGCGATTTTAATCTCTTAGTTTAAGGGAAGACAGGGAGTGTACACACCGATGCCATTGTGATCGATTCTGAGCCATGTCACCAAGAGTCTCCAACCATTGGTTACGATAGTCACGCGAACCCCAACCAAGTAGTCTGCATCTACCAACATGGCTCAGACTAGAATTTAGTGACTTTGTGGACTGATGCCACGTTTTGGTTTGGCCGCCCCTAACTTTCTTCCAACCATTTCCAATACCGGATAGCATTGCACGTCGTGGTAATCGGTGTTCAGGCATACGTAACACGTGGCCCAACCATCTCAGTCGATGAAGATTCATAACCTCATCAACTGATTTACCATCATTCCCTAATACCCTGCGTCTAACCTCACTATTACTTACCCGGTGATCCCAGCAGACGCCAGCAATATTTCTAAGGCATCTGTGGTCAAGTACTAATAGCTTACCAGATTCATATGCGCCACACAAATGTCATGTGATTTGTGTGAGGGATGTGATACTGCTTAGGCGCCCAAACCGAAGTAGGTGGTTTCCTTAGGGGGCCATACTCGACCTAAAAGTCTGATCCACAAGGTAGTGAAGCATTGTAAGGAGATTCAGTCCCATTGTAGCAGGTGACCAACGATTGGTTCATACGCCATTTGTTCCTTTAGGGTACTGGAGCCCATGTGCACCACTGGTTTGGAATGAGGGTTTTCCAACTCCCCTAGGTGGACTCTCCGTGTCCATCGACTCGATTAAAGCGCCCGATATTTGCTTTTCATCCTGTCAATTCCGTGAACAACACCCCCTTGACGAGAAGGCAGTGAGTAGGACTTCACTGGCAGAGGCTATATGCACGTGGTTATGTGAGAGCATTTCGAGAGGGAGAGCGGACTCTTCTCACTCTCGGCCGTACCAGGGCATTTGGGGGCACGCTGTGACCTAGTGTTTTTGTAACTATTTCACTGATATGTTATTTTTAATATTTACGATAAGTATGATCAAAGTGCTAAACTTTCAACCAGTAGGCCGCTTGTTTAAATTCCCACTCTATCTACTTCGTTTTTGGTACTCGTATAGTACAAATACATATAGCACCTGATAAGTGAGTGAGTTGCATTGTTATTATTATTACAACTTGATCGATAGAATATCATGAGCACTAAAGACTAGACGTGCGTAACATCAGTCAGTGTAAGTATCTCAATCCTACAGGAGGTCAGCCACAGTCTTACTAACTTAATTGAATGGTATCAGTGTGTGAAACTGAGTGACTCGGATTCGAATCCCATCGACTATCAGTCCCCTTAAGATTACAGATACACTTTGCGGATAAATACCAACTAGTACGAATTACATATTCAAGGTTTCCTCTTGTCTATCTCAAATTACGTATTATTTTTTATCCCTTTCTTTTTTTCATTTATGCATATAATTTCAAGTGTTATTCAATGATATAACACTCTCTATCTACACTCAGATTATCTTTTTTCTATTGTTGCTATTCATTTTCTATTTATTTATTTTTGGATAGACGATTATCTGTAGACAGTCCAAATACGTATATTAATCAGTTCCCTGGTGAGCACGTCATCACTGTTAAGGATTATCTAGCTAGTTTAGCGGCTAGTATAGCTAAGGAAACCTATTTACAACAATCAAACGATTTAATGCATGGTAATGATGATACTGATGAAAAACTCTCAACCAATTGGTATCCAGTTACATTTAACTTAGTGTATGAACTTCCACAATTTTGTGCTTATTTCCAATCGAATTATGTAAGTTTGTTGTTTTTTCAATTAAATACATTAATATGTTTAATATCAAGCCACTTTTCTAGTGAAGGTTACTGATAATATTTGATTCTATAAATTGAAATAGATAGAACGGGATTTGAGTCTATATTCTACCAGTACTGAAAGTCAGTTGTTTTAATCACTAGGACATTGATATTAGATTCATAAAGGTGATTGTTACTTCTGCCATAGAGTAAAGTTTCTTCCACTCTTCAGGATTCCGTATAATTTAGTTTTAAATTAGTCACGGTGACTAAGAGCTTGTTCTTTCGATCTTCAATTTAACAGTAATCAGTCAGTTCCAAAAACTGCTGAACGAACTGTTGATCATATGTCAAGAAATTATCATAGCTTATTTCTATTTGAAGTTTGTACTAATAATGGTTGTCTAGAATCAGGATTAAAGTTTCATGACCAAACTATCTAAATCAGAGTATGCCATTTCAGCATAACTTGTATTCATACAATTAAGTGTTATTTTTCCTTATTGTATCATAAATTGTATTCCTTTTACAAAATCATCTTTCTGTAGAATAAAATCATTAGTACTAATGATGAAGGTGGGAGAAATGATAAACATAATATATGGATATTGAAGCCTTGGAATCTTGGTCGAGGTGTGGGAATTGTGATTACTGACAATTTGGATAGAATAATAAAAACTTGTGATATTAACCCAATGGTAAGAGAATGTATTCACGCTATAAATATATAATATAAATATAACTTCAAATAAATTGAACATTAGAGGGGATAGTTTATGGCAATAATAACAGTAATAGTAAAAATATATCTGTGACATCCCTTTGAGTAAAAAATTAATTTCCTTGTGTTTCTGACGTTTCGCAACTTATCGTTAGCTGCTTCTTTAGAAAATGAAATGATCACCAAGTCAAATTAATGCAAATTTACATGGCTTTAATGGAAGAGTATTTGACAAGTAAACCAGAGTAGCAATTAGTAAAATGAATGAATTCAACGCTGATCGATCGATGAAATACAATAGGGCTAGAGGATATCTGTTCACAAATCTCCCTCTAAATTTTTTGCGATCAAATACAAGATCACTAGCCAAAATAATACATTCTTTGATGTTTTATGTAGAAACTATTAACATAAAAATAAATATGACTAGAATATCATTGGCCATTGGAGGCAATCAGCTTTGTTTAGTTCATTTACTTTCCAATCAGTTATGACGTCGCTCATCATAATACCATTAGAACTATTGATTCGAAATATGTTACTATTTTATTATTATGCAATGGAAACATTTCTTGTGGTCAGCTTTGACAAATTACATTGCAAACTCTTTCTTCGTGTTAATAGTTTGGAATTTTCGTTAGAAAACCCTGTATTTCAATCTCACTTATAAAAGAAGATCATGGCTGACCTTTTCTAACGCCCTTCTCCCGTTGTGGGAGAAAATAATTCTTCAACCTGGTTGTCTGAGGAAAACACCTTACTGCTGTTACACCTTAGTACATTCAGCAGTACTATTTTTTCCTGGGGCCTTAAGTTATTTTTTTTATTCTCACTATTCTCCAACTGACCTAACTGGTCTAATAAAGTTTAAATCAACATATGTCTCAGCTAACATAACTTATTCACATTATTACGATATTCAAACCTAATCATTAAATCAAGGTACCAGCCACGGTCGGTACTGTACTTATATTTTTGACACTTACAACTTTAATTCTGCTTTGTTTTGTTTTATGTTATTCTATTAGATCGCTAGTCGATATATCACAGATCCTGTTTTATTTTATCGTAACGACTTACAAGCTAATGTGAAATTTGATATACGCTATGTGGTATTATTACGTTCTGTCAAACCGTTAATTCTGTACACATATAAAGTATTTTGGCTTCGATTTGCAAATAAGTAAGTGTTATGTCCCGATAAGCATAATAAATGGTAACTTTGCGATCTACTATGAACCAATACTAAACTTATATTTTTATGAAAGGAGCATCAGTGTATACACTCTCTGTCTTCCCTTAAACTAGGAGATTAAAAACGCTTCATATCTTTCTTTCTACGAACTAATTCTTTCTTCCTGTACTATATCCTTATTGCAATCTTTCTTTTATATATTACCACCTCTGAATTAACTACTTTTATGAATCCGGTGTCCATCTTGTTGTGCTAATGAGGTATGGCAACTTGGACCGATGCATAAATATGCCTAGTCCTACGTTGTAGCTGACTGATGAAAAGAGCAAGAACAAAGATTCTAGCAGAATAGCATGAATTCATTTTTATTTCGTTGATTCTCGTTAGCTGCTTACAACCTGTAATATTTAAAATAATTACATAATGATGTCGCTAAAAAATGTAGGAGGGACGGAACAGTCCAACGTTCGCTTTATCGAAAAATACTTGGAATGGCCATTACGTGAATTTCAATAGTTTTTGTCCACTCAGTTACAAGAAGGCATTAGTTAAAACACTATTTTATAGGGCAAAAAGGATATGTGCCACTGACAAACTGGAAGAAGAATCGATGAACGTGGAAAAATGTCTACGAGACAACTTTTACCCACAAAGGTTCATTAACAAATATAAAAAGCGTAAAGAAAACAATACAGAAGTAATTACGGTCAATAAAAAACCATTAACTATAAATCCTAACTTCAAAGGTGATGATGTTGCAAACGCAATCAACAGGAAACTGAATACTGCGCTAGCCAGAACTTATCCGGCGGCCAAACTTCTAATTCTGTATAAAACAACATGTTCAATAACTCAATTAAAGGTTGATAAGCATTTTTTCATGTTACCGCCAATTGTATTTATAAATTTACGTGTACCTGCCAAAGCAGCTACATTGGCCGAACAGAAAGAGGGCATATCTCAGATTTTTTGAACATGTTCCAAAAAGCCTCAGAGCAAGAAAAAGGAAAACTCTAAATAGTGCAATCACCAAACATCTTGATACAGGACATCAGGTCGATACCCTACAATCATTCAAAGTGATTAGGAAGCAGCCAAACTCCGGACTTTTGAAGTTTGCTGAAGCAGTTGCTATCAGACGCCAAAAACCTGACTTATATGTTCAAAAGGAGATGATTATTAGTCTTTCTTTGCTTTGGTGACAAATATTCCTTTGCTGCATCTTAAAAATCTTTCTCTTTTTCTTTAAGCTCTTCCTCGCATTTATTACATCATTGAGTTTTATTCCAACTATCTTCCAAATTAATCTTATTTTATCAACTCAGCTCTACTCGTTTTATTCCCATCAATGTTTACTTGTTTCTAGCCCTTTGAACTGTTGTCACAATGTTCTTTTACATAAGGTTTATATTTACAATATTCAGTCTATTAAATTTATTTACACCCTTGCTATACTATATGAATATGTCTTCAATATAACTTCCAATCAAACTCGTTCATGTAAGTAATTTAAACTCATTATGTAATTATGATTTTAAATATCACAGGTTGTAAAGCAGCTGACGAGGACCAACGAAGTATATTTTTATCGTATAATTGTTAAATAACTATACTATTTATATTCCACTTATTATGAGCTTGATTTTGACCATTATGCCCTGTCTATTAGTTATTTTCTCCCACATTCACAGCCACATTTGGCCAAATCTTGTACAAATGTTGTTTTCTATTTTATGGTACGTTGTGGTCTGTTTCATTGGTATATAAACTCAGTATGTTTGAAATATAATGATTCATATAGCAGTGGCTCGGATTGGTGTTCTGGACTTAACTGGCTGGGCTAGGCGGAAAGTAGGACCAATCAGGACTCTAGACTGCTCATACGGGTTTACGGGTCATTGATCCGATCGATAAGTCACTGCTTCCTAATTGGCGGTCACAAGTTATAACAGTAAGCTTATCCACATTTTAAATCCATCATTTTCCATTGATTGATATTTACAAAGACAATGATTAAAATTCTACAGAATTACGCGATTTGACTGAACAAGTGGATATTCAATTCTAATATGATCAACAGTTGAGGTGTTTAGGCTAGTGACATAATAAGTAACCATTCATACTTCAAATTATCTACTTAGATATGTTTAGCGTCAGTATAGGATGAAACTCAGTTATGTAAAAATGTGTTTTTATATCTTATTTTAATATCAAACGTGAAGCGAATCTGCACTAGCCCATTATATCACCATACCATATTAGCACAACAACTCGAAATGATATGGTAGAAATGATAATGAAAACGACTAAACATTTGAGAATATGATATGAAAAGGCAAAATGAAAAGGTACATGTACAGAAAACGTAACATCTAGAATATATATTAAAGAGGGCAAGACTATTATTTCTGGATGAACTATTCAGATTTAAGTTAACGAGTCTTGGATTTTGACGCAAAATTCATTTATGCTAAATAGCATTATATCTTGTGTTATTTTGTGATGAAAACCCTAATTCTAAATCTCAATTTTTATTTCTCACGCTACTTTATAATCCTTTTTAAACCCATAGCAGGTAGATGAATTTTCTCAGGATCACTTCGATGTCACTCAAAAGTCCTCCATAATCGATTGTCTCATTATTAAGTAGTATAACAAAAATATAATATCTTCGTATAATTTAATAATTGAATTCATGAGTCAATTGAAGCTAGACCACCATCTTAGTATGGGACTCCTCAGCAGTGCGCATCCACAATCTCGCCCTGCAAGATTCGAACTGGGATGAAACAACTGTCCAGTACTTCCAGATTTTCCATGGTGGTCTAGCTTCAATGGACCCATGAACTCAAGTATTAAATTACTATAATCTCCACAAAACCTCTCTCTCTGATTATCTTTGTATAATTTATTGTTTGTTTATTAAGACTAGAAATAGTTTATCATATGAATTTAATATATCTCATATAAATATTGACATGTTGTTGTTAGTAATATAAATAAAATATTTGTCTTCATTTTTTTCTTTCTTTCTTTCTGAACTACCTATCTCTCTTTCCTGTATACAGACCATTTATTTTAGACGATTTCGACTCATATGATCGACATTTCACAGTTATGAATTATCGTTCAGCTGACAGTTTGAAACAAGTAAGTATTATAAATATATTATGTATACTAAGTATTATTCTTATTTAAGTAGTAAATACGTTGTTCATTATCATCTTAACTTGACACTAGTCAGTAGTATAAATTCCATATTCAATATCAAAATATATTTCAGCTCAGGGTGAACCCCCAAATACCCTGGTACGACCGAGAGTGGGGAGAGTCCGCTCTCCCTATCGAAATGCTCTCACATGGCCACGCGTATATAGCCTCTGTCAGAGAAGTCCTACTCACTGCCTTCTCGTGGCGGGGGTATTGTTTACCAAATTGGTAGGACGAAAAGCGAATGTCCGGTGCTTTAACCGAGGTGGTGGACATAGAGAGTCCACCTGGGGGAGTTGGAAAACGCTTATTCCTCCAGTATCCTGAAGGAATAAATTGCGTATGAACCAATCGTTGGTCACCGAGTACAATGAGACTGGATCTCCTTACGATGCTTCACTGCCTTGTGGATCAGACTTTTAGGTCGAGTGTGACCCCCTAAGGAAACCACCTACTTAGGTTTGGGCACCCGTGCAGTATCACAGTTCTCACATGTATCAAATGAGATCTGTGTGGCACGTATGTATTTGGTGCCTCCTCGTACCAATATTTATGTGTTAAAATAAATAAATCAAAATCAGCTCATTTATAGTTATGAATAAATATTTTTATATCAGAAGGGTTTTTGTGGGTGTTATAGTAATTTCAATGGTTGAAATCATGAGTCGATTGAAGCTAGACTACTATAAAAAACCTGAAAGCACTGGATGGCCATTTCATCCTCTTGTGGGACTCCTCAGTAGTGCGCGTCCACGATCCCACCTGGAGTTATAGTGAGAAGTAGTGACCGGTAGAGTTCAACCAGGTCTGTTGTGGGTTAGTAACTCATTGAAGACAATGGTGGATATGTCGCTCAATTTCGTGAATAAATATTTTATTGATGAAATTTCAAACTGAAAAAAAAAACAACTTAATGTTATGTGGTTAGGTATAGTCAACAGGAATTTCTGTCTGACCTAGGTTTCATGACCAATGTCACGTTTATCTTAGTTATTTTAGCTAGCCAGAGAGATGTAACCTTTGTCACTACTCAGTCATTAAACAGTTGTTAGTAACGCGTATAATAATACTTCCGGCATCGTCATCATCATAATAATAACCATCTTATTCTTGAATTTTTCAGATACATTGCGATGAATTTGTTGAATTGTTCGATAAACAATATCCAGATCACAAATGGTCAACAATTGAGGTATTGTAAACTTTCCTATTAGTACTGTGTATCTTAGTAATTCTGTTTTGTAACTTGCATTTCTATTAAAAGGAACCATTATCATTCTGTAGTTATTAATTGCTGTCTATATCCTATCAGCTAATCTACACAGGCAACAGACAACTTTATGAACAAAGATAAACAATTCTAGAGTGTATTTAAAAAATGAAACCAACTTTGTAAACCTTTCACCGTATAACCCAAAGTGTTATACTACTACTATTTGGGACCTATAATTCAATCTTTCAATATCCCCCTACATGTATTTTAATTACTACAAAACTGTCCAATGTTCTCTCATTTTCAATTATTCTTCAACTGATATAACTTAGTGATGGCAATTACTTTGAAATTATTATCAGTGTAAGAGACTTGTGGAGATCGTTGAACTTCATAGTTTACATCACTCACTGATATTCGTTTAAAAAACCACTGAAAACTAATAAACACCGGATAGCTGCTTCGTCTTAGCATGGGAATCCTCAACAGTGCGCATCTGTGACCTAAGATTTATAGGTCTCACTATAAGCCGTTAACCTTTAAACAATTGAACTGTCACCCATTAGTATACTCGGATGAAACAGCTGTTCAACACTCTAGTTTTCAGTAGCTATCCAACTAAGATCTACCAGTAATATAAACTATGATAAGTCAATTAGTTGAATAGTAATTTTGAAAATGTCTCTTCGGTTTAAACTTATATGTTCAAGTCAACATTAATGTTTTTTTCTAATTTGACAAATATTCACTAACTAAATTTCATTGTGGGGATACTTATTATGTGTTAACGATGTCATTCATGTCTCGAAATGTCTTACACTCGATTCGAATTAGCTCTACTGGTTACAGCATCTCACTAGAACTCTGAAAGTTCCCTCTCGAAACTAGCCACTAGTGAGCATATGATAATTATCAGTATGGGGTTATAGAGGTTGTTGAATAGTTAATTAATAGTCAAGAAAACTCTTAATAGATAATTGTATTTGTTATGAATATTTTAATTATATACTACAGTCTCAAACATGTTGAATATTAACTTGGTGTTGTTTACTTGTATCTTCCCATTGTTATTTAGGACTGCAATTGATCAGCCCCTTGTTGGCATGTTCATCCTGTGCGGACTGCCTCGATATTGCCTGAAGTCACGAGATTTATAAGCAGGATGGATGGTGGCTAGCAGTGGAATACAGGACGTGCGTTTCGTCTTATTTGGGACTCGTCAGCTGGATGTATCTGCATCCCAGAGTTGATGTTCAACAAGAGACTGATCAATTGCAGTCCTAAATAACGATGGGAAGATACAAGTAAACAACACCAACTGAATATAACTTTATCCCATTGCACAAGCAAGTGGCTATCAGCACTCAGTAGCTAAGTGGATAACGCGATGGCGTCTGAAGCGAACGGTACTGACTTCGAGTCCCAGAGTGAACATCAACTCACAGATGCGGGCACACTCATCTGCCGAGTCTCAAATAAAACAAAACGCTCGTCCTGGATCCCACTGCTAGCCACTATCCATCTTTGCTTATTTTGACTATTATTTTTAAGCAACCTAATTTATGAAATGTTTCTTTTTCTTTTTTTAAAAATTAATTTTCACATAGTTAAAAATACATCGACTTCTAGTTGAAATTTTTCAAGCAGCCACAAAATATCCACCACCACGTGGTCTAACTCATAATGTCCAATCTCGAGCATTATATGCTGTTGATATACTATTGGAATGGCGTTCAAATGGATATGCTTTATCTAATCAAAAAGATATATATCCTGTAGTATGTGAAGTGAATTTTTCACCAGATTGTGAAAGAGCATGTCTTTATCATTCGAACTTTTTCAATGATGTATTTTCATGCCTATTCCTAGATCAATCATCTGATTTATGTAACACACACAAACTGACATAAAATTATTGTTATTTTTATATTGTAATTAATTAATTTCCTCAGGGTTTTATCTATATATAATAGGAAATAAATACTGTATATGTGAGATTATTAACTGTTTACTCTTTTAACATAAACAATGCTTCATAATAATGTTACTGGTGTATACACTAAATAGAATTAAAACGTCAGTCTTGAGTGCTGTTAGAGGTATGAGGGCGGTTATCACTTCCCAGTCTCCCACACCGTGGAAGGGTTCTTCTAGAGGTACCTGAAGAGAAAATCAGGTTAGAGTTGGTCTTAGTGACCGCAGTTCCCAAGAGACAACTGCTTGAGGTCGGTCACACACGACCTTTTTGTGAGTAATTTCTGTGTTAGCTCCGTACTTGTTGAGACATTACCGCCGGAGATGGATATCCGTGGGATAAGGCGAAATGTGCATTTTTAGGGTCGACCTTTTCTAACCGCATCCCTCCTTGTGGGAAGGCAGAATCGCTGTTATGCTGGTTGTCTGAAGAAAACATCTTACTGCCGTCACACTTCTGTTCAGTCAGCAGTACGACTTCGAACCCTGGGTTTGCTGCTTTTAGTCTTACCGGTCTTCAACAGACCTGCCTGGCATGATAGGACTTTGAGGAACGCCTATTACAGCCAGTATAGCCCGAATGGTTCATCACGATAGGCAAGCACGACCACCACTTCAAGGTGGCAGCAACGGTTGGGTGTGAACATACATTTGGCATATTATACAATTAAGCATCTATAATCCTTCTTAAGTTGTGAATGTCACATAAAACTGAAAAGAAATCAATTTCATATGTCATTTGCACCCTGACTGATTAAGTTATTATTCGCCATATCACAACTGATTATCGCCAGGTTCATTTTTTAAACCGATGATTCAACTGCTTACAAATTGTAATAACATAGTTAATGCATTAATTAAGCATGCACTTCAAAATTAAGATTGTCTTAGAAAAGTTGCGCAATTCTCAATATTTGCCACAGGACATAATACTATTCTATGAAGTTGATGATAGTACATCTAAGCTAAATTGAGTGTTCATAGTACAAAGCTCCATCCTACAAATACGTGAGCATCGAATAACTCACCGAAGAAAACTTTGCATTTATTTTTTGTCTCTAAATGTAACGAATCAAGATTTACAATATCTTTTTGAGTTTTTTTTGTGTGGAAGCGATCTGATTGATTTGTTAGTTGAATGTTCCCATAAAAGTTAGTCGACTAATCATATTCATATCAAGCAGGTAACCGAATCAATTCACATCATATCAGTGTCTTAAAGAAGCATAACGTTGTTTCTGTTATTTTACGTTATAGCTTAATAGCAAAGGGGAAATCGGAACACGGTAAGACATACCCCTAAGCACATTACTTAAAAATATGAAACGGTTCAGTAACACAATAATGACCAATGTAATAACATTACTAAGATCAGTTATTTTTAATGAAAAAAATCAAATGAATCTACTCAGAAACTAACATGTATTCGAATCGTAAGTAGTGTTAAATCAAATTAAGAAAAAAGTGAAATCATCTTTTTATATGACTAGTGAAGTAAAGATCAGCACATTTAATAGGAATGGACAGTCATAAAACTAGTTTTACAAACAGACAGACACACATAAATGATTCTTTGGAAAGGAAGGAAGCTTGAGAAATAATATTCATTTAATGTGGTACAATATTAAATGTCTACACGAAAGACAACATTTGTCAAGAAAGTTTAGCATAGCAACACAATTTCTTTGTCACAATAAATGAAAGTTACATAATTAATAAAATTGAGAGAAATCAAAATGCAGGTTTTGGACAACTATAAATCACCAATCATACATGACGGGGTTATTTATGTGTATCTGTATACACCATGTATATATCTGACAGACAAAGTATGAAGGTCCTCAAAGGAAGACGAATTTATGTGATATATATAAAAAACAAATAAATTAAGCAGATGAATTGAAATGATTTGTAAGATCACCGTTTGGCATCGTTTTCTCTCTGTTAAATCACTCGGAATGAAAATACACCCACAAAACATATAGAAACACAAGATCCTGTGAGACTAGTAGTCAATAGTTGTATTTTTCAAAAGAAAGAAATGTCAGTTATTTTTCTGAACTAAATTATTACATATTATGTAATAAGAATATTAATAATAATAAACAGAACCATTCTGTCATTATAATTGAACAGATCCAAATAGTTTGCCACTTAATGACTGAACATCAGGATCAGTATCAACACTGATGCTGACTGAATCACTGACAGCAGTAGTAGTCTGTTGTTGTTGTTGTTCATATCGTATATAATTTAAAGTATTCTTAAAATGTACTGTTATATGATCAGTGACAGGAGATGGTTCCAAACTGTTCAGTAAATTTCTAATCTCACTAATGATATCATTTATTCGATCATCAGTTATCTGTAAAGAAAAAAAAGGACAAAACAGAACATGGCGAAAATGTATTTGTAAGTGAAAAGTATAAATAGAATAATATAAAACAATTGTAACAGGAAGATAAACAAGACTGACTGGTAATAATCAAATGAAAATAGGAACCATCTTTAATGATGATAGTTGGTTCACTAAGTGATTCAGTGCATTTATTATTCAGTCAAAATATGCATTTGAGCACCATGAATAAGCTGATCTCGAGCTCTGTCAGAAGTATGAGGGCGGATATCATTTATCAGCTGCCTATACTACTACACGAAGTACCTAAAATGATTCTGTGTTGGGAGTAGGTCCTAACGACTTGGAAGCGTGGTTTAAGGAACAAATTTTTTCAGGCCATTGACAGACAGTTTACTTTGTGAAGGTTCTAGATACGTTAGCTCTGTCCCTTTAAGGACTCGTTGCCGGTGACGGGAATCTAGAACAAGATGAAGTATCATTTTCAAGGTAGGTCTTTTTTTAAAAAAAAATTTATTTGAACACATAAATATTAGTACAAGGGGGCACCAAATATATATGCGCCGTACTCGGTCGTTTTTAGCCTTGTCCCGTCATAGAAAGGCTGCAGTATACTAGTTGTCTGTGGAAAACACCTTACTGCTGCGTCAGGTGTACAACTTTGGCCCAGACCAATATTCATATTACACATGTTTGCCCCCTCATGGTTTATCAGGAAATGTACTGTTTCAATGGCATTTCGTATCCAATTTTTATTATTCCGTTGGTCAATAAGACATGATTAAGAATATATAAGATTGAACCAGTGACCTATATTTCATTGGAGTCAAATGGATTACCATAAGTTGCTACTTTCAGTTTTAACGCTGTACAACGATATGCTTCAAAACATCATCCACTATAAATGAGTATGAATTTTGACAAGAAATTAACTCCTGACAATTTGAAAGCAAAGAATGAAAAATTGGAAAACATCAAAGATATTCTCGATCCCATTGGTATAACGGAAGTGAGCTTGATTGATCGTAGCCTTGCATTCGATAGTGGGTTACTTGATAACACACTAGATATTAGACTGGATACTTCAACAATAAACTCAATAGATCACTAGACTATGATAGTGGGTTACGTGATACTCGGATCGACACGATCATTCGACAAGTCGAGGATCGAATTAGGTCAAATAATAGTTTATGAACACTAAGCTACGAACAGTCAGTCAGTAAGTGAATTTAGAGTGGAGTCAACTTCACATGCATAATAAAGCTGGATATGTCTGTCTTCGTTAATGAGTTGATCACGGTACACTTTGACCAACACATTACCCATTATATTTTAATAATTAGTTGTGAAGAATCATTTGTTGGGTATATACAAGGTAGCGTAGAATACAGTCTAATAGATAACTCATTTTCAAATTGACGTAGAGATTTGAAATAGTCAGGAGCGATAGTACTAGAGTGATTACTTTCATTTTTAAAGAAACCAGTCGAATAAATACTATGGTCGACAAGACTTATAAAAATAGACCGACAGGTGACCAGTTTTGTTCGCTAAGCATAGAGTAATTCCAAAATAATGAAAATAATCGCAGTGAAATCTTAAAATGCTTTTGTTTCTTAATATCTAGCTATAATCCTTCCTATATTGGTTCTTTTATGTTCGTGGATAATAATGGTATATACACTCTCTATCTTCCCTTAAACTAAGAGATTAAAATCACTTCATATCTTTCTTTCTACGAACTAATTCTTTCTTGCTGTACTACATCCTTATACACAGTCTTTCTTTTATATATTACCACCTCTTAATTAACTACTTTTATGAATCCGGTATTCATCATGTTGTGCTAATGAGGTATGGCAACTTGAACTGATGTATATATGTGCCTGGTCCTATGCTGTAGCTGACTGAAAATGTAATGGTCAAGTAAACACTGGTCAAAAATGTATATATAATGGTTAAAGCGATAATGTTCAAGTATTGGTTAAGAAATCAATGTGATTTACTCCTCTTGAATAGTTTGCAAACAAAATATTATCACATTAATATTAATCTGTAACAAAAATAGGGGGCGCGAAATAAAAATACAGGATAACAATAGTAAAATCATATTTACTTGTTCACAACCAGATAAACGAAGATTAACAGATAGATTAAGAATATCAATAAATAATTGTGCACGAACAGCACTATCCATACATTCTTTGGCAAATCTAGCCGCTCGATCTAAGCATGAAATCACACCTTTTGGATCACGTAACTAAAAATTTAAAAAAATGAGAGAAAAAACGGTAACCAATCTATAGCTACTACATATATGATATAGTAATTTAAGTAAAAATGAATATTTCAATAGTTGAGATCAAAAGTCAATTGAAGTGAGACCACCATGGAAAACCTGGAAGCATTGGACGACCGTCCAGAGTAGAAAATTTTATCCAACTAGCTTTCTTTTTCAAAAATAGAGAAAGATTTTTCATTTGATCAATAAATGAAATTGTGTATTTTTTCAAGGTGGTTGAAGTCAAATAATGTTGATTGTCAAACTAATGATCAAATAAAAATGATATAACTTCTATTAGTAATGTAATTATTAAGCATATATGCAATTTGCCTCATTGATAAATAGATTCATTTATCGCCAACATTTCCCTTTGACGTATAATCTGTCTTTATAGTGTTATTATATGTACATTCGCATGTATTTCTGATATATTCGAGGGATTAATATATCACTTTGGACTGTCGGACGGAACAAAAGTTAACAACTGAACAAAAAGATAAGCTGAACTATTACTCTGCGTCCGAGCTCTGTCTACTACAAGAAGTTAAGATTCAACCAGGAAAATAAATAATTCCATAACCAGCCCAGGAGAACGAATCAATGACGTTGAAGGTCCTTTCAGGTGAGCAACACAAACTGAAGCCAATAAAGGGAGCTATTGAGACGGAAATGAAAAATTCAACTTTTTACAATAAAATTACAAAAATACGAAGTTCACCAGGTGATTTCTGGAGATCTATTATCCCAAATAATTTCTTGTAAACAACAAATACAATGACTAAATTAAATTGAACAGTAAGCTTTACAGGTCTGAAATTGTATAATAATGCGGTATGATACATCTATGAAACTTGTATACAAGATTAAAGTGTTAATATTCATTTCGAGTCAACTAGCCAGTTATATTTTGGAAATTTCATGCGTAATTTCTGTAAATATACATATCACTTGTTGAACTGACAAGACTAATCGTCAAGCATCGTATGTACCAATGTACTCAAATCAAGTTAAAAGTAATTGAAGATGCAGTACAATATATGTTACCTCACAACTAAACAGCATATAGTAAATATTGGAATAGAAATAAAATGCGTTTGGAATTATTCGAGTGCTGTTAAAGGATTTGTGAGTGGCCATCACTTACTGGTCGCCCATATCTTAAAAAGGTTCTTCTTCTTGAAATACCTGAAACTATAACTTGGTTATTAATTGTGATCTTCGTAATTTGATAAAGTAACTACAGAGCACAACGGACAACTGCTCGATGCTGGTTATGAACAGGCTTTTTGATATTTCTTGGCGCACTAGCTCAGAACATTAAAAGTCTTACTGTCGGCTACGGGAACCAGTGAGATTAAGTAAGATTTCTTCTAACTCTTCCCGCTGTGAGAAGGTAGACACACATTTTCTAAAGGAAATACCCTAGTGCAGTTAAGAGTGAAAATACACCACCGCTCCTTGATTTTCTCCTTTTGGTCTTACCATTCTCTAACCGACCTAATTGTATGGTAGGACCTTTATTGACGGCTGTTCCGAACAATGTAACTCGATTCACGCATTACGATATCCAATCTCGACTATGATATCAAACTAATGGCTACGCTAGAGATTGAAATCAATCATTGAACGTTCGTGTTAATATTAATAAGATGTAAAACATGAAATACAAATAAAAATTAATTATTTTATTTCATTACTTTATTGTAATATTCATCTGATAATTCTTCCGTTTCAGATAATTTTGCATAAGTTGAAATTTCAGGATTATTATCTGTCACAGGGATAAGTAGACTTGGCTTAATTCCTTTCCTAATTAATGGTTTAGTTGGCCAATATAAATGTGTACTTGCACAAACTGCTCGACATTGATCATGTTTACGTAGTAGACGTGCTGCAGCTCGTGTACATTGAGTACGTAATGTAGATTGATTATCACCAGTGAAACAATTAATTTGATATAAAGTACTAGTAATTAATGCAATTGCTTCAACTTGCGCATGAGAATCTGAAACAGCTTCTTCGTAAAGTGTAAGCGCCTAAAAATTAAATATAGAAAAACAATAGAAAAAAAATTAGATAAAGAATTGAATTTGATTGAAAAGTAAGTGATTTGCATTCCTTGAGAATTATGATTCATTTGTATAAATATGAAAAGTAGGTAAATTTATTATTTATGAGTGAACTAAATGATATTTATGGATATTATATACAAAAACATGTTAACAACTGAATTCACGAGTCAATCAAAGCTAAACCATCATTGAAAACCATTAAGCACTGGATGACTATTTCGTTCGAGGATGGGACTCCTCAGCAGTGCGTATCCAAGATCCCGCCACCTGTGAGGTTCGAACCCAGGACCAGATTTTCCATGGTGGTCTAGCTTCAATTGACTCATGATTTCAACTAGTAAAATTTTTAAGATCTCCAAAAAACCCCTTCTGATTATAATCATCTGCTCACTAATGACTGACTTCAAGAGGCATTTCTTGGAGTTTTAGTGAGAAGCCGTTACCGGCGGAGTTCAACCGGGTCTGTTGTGAGATGTCAGCTCACTGAAGACAATGGTGTGTGGTGGCGCAATTTCGTGGATTGGTTGAAGTTAGACATTAACACCGTTGGATGCCGGCCGGCTCAGTGCTCTAGTGGTTAGGCGCTCGCGCGCCAGACTGATAGGTCCTGGGTTCGAATCTCGCAGAGGGTGGGATCATGGATGCGCACTGTCCCATACTAGAACGAAACGGCCGTTTAGTGCTACCAGGTTTTCCATGGTGATCTAGCTCCAATTGACTCATGATTTCAACTATTCAAATTTCTAAAAATCTCCACAAAACCCCTTCTGATAATCACTAATACCTTATTCAGACACCGTGTGATTGATAGTCAGTTTAACTATATTGGGCATTAGACAAGTCATTACCGGTGGCGTCATATAGCCAATTGACTGCGGTCGGAAATGGTTGCCATTAGATATCAGTACAATAGTCCAAAAGTAAAATATACCTATTTGAAGGCCGGAAAATTTTGATTTCGATTTGTGAGTGTACACTGTTGAAGAATCATAAAATAGGAAGAAACAGATGTACAGTATCCCTTAATTATTTTCTTAGCTGAAGCCAGTCCATCATGTAAACTAACTTGAAAGTAATTAATATAAGATATACATTGAATTCCGTCAAGCTTATAGTTACAGATTAATGATATCGTTCAGTTTCTGAAACTTCAGTTATTAATATATAGTTTGCACCCATGACATACTCCTTGAAAGATGATTAGCCGAAGTATTAAATATGTATTCAACAGAATCTGTCAGTCATAATAGAGGTGGACACCTAGCATAAGTATAAATGTGTTTAAATTCCCACACTACATCAACCGAGTGAAATGAAATTATCAAGCTAAATGAGAGAGTTGTAAAAGTAATAACAGAATCAATAGTTGTAGGGAAGACTATGCATATACAAAATGATTTAGGAATGAGTTTGCGCTGTTGTGACCGATTCCGAGATGTCACCCAGCCTCTCCAACCACTGATTATGATAATCATGTAGAACCAAACCAAGTAGTCTGTACATAACTCTACGCGGGGCCTAGTCAACAAGTATCATTTTATAAAACTTTAACTTCCGTATATAAATAAAAAAACGAATAATTTAGAAAGGATGTTTACTAACTAACCATAAACTAAGTAACTACATGTTTTAAATATTAGTAATAAACATACAGAAACTTAGGAATAGCACAGTAAGTTGATCTAACTCTATATAGGAACCACTTGATGGCAAAAAATCTAAATAGAATCGAAATTCTGGTAGTGATTTGATTCCTTAGTAAAGATAGTCAGCTGGGTGTACCTGTATCCCACTGTTGATACTCACGCTGAAGCTCAAAACCAGTACGCTCTATTTACGTTAACACGGTATCTACTGAGCTACTGAGTCTAGATATCTACTAAATTGTTCAAACCCTTACTAAAGATTATATATATAACCTGAAAGTCATACCCATTCGAATCTAATATTGTCTATTGACAGTTAAAGTAAAGAACTAGATTTTATTATCATCATTAGACTTTGATCGATAGATACAGCTTCTTGTCTGTACCTAACTGCTTAACACGTTTCATTTATTAAAATCATATAACAGTGAAACTGAGTGGGGAAAAAAACAACGTACACATATACAAAAGAAACAATACTCACTTGTGAAATAAACTCATATATCATTGATTCTTGATTGGTAAATTGTATTTTATCAATTACCAGTGCTGAGTATAAAAATAATCGTAAGGCCGATTCAGATGCATCAGCTGCTACTAAACATGTACAACAACGATGACAAAATCTCACTACATTTGTAACACTTTCTTCCCAATTAGAATTTTGATTACGTAATTCATAATAGGTTTGTATTAATTGAAGACTCTAACAAACAAAAACATTAATGGAAATTTTATTAAGATAGAAAATTTTGATTATGGTTACAGAAGGAAGAAATAATGAATAATCTTATTTATTTATGTATTTGAACACATAAATACTGGTGGAAGGAGGCACCAGATACATAAACGCCACACAAATCTCATTTGATATGTGTGAAGGCTGTAATACTGCCCGGGTGCTCAAACCGAAACAGGTGGTTTTCTTAGGGGGCCACACCCAGAGCCTTCGACATGAAGATCTGATCCACAAGGCAGTGGAGCATCGTAAGGAGATGCAGTCCCAATGAATAATCATTGGTTGTTGCCTTGTGAAGTTTACTTATGTTATGTTCACCAAGAATGTTTACTCCACAATTCTGTTTCGATTAGTTTGTCATTCTGAATTCTTTTAATTAACTTTGGATAAGTAAGAAAATATTTTGTTCGTTTTAAATTTTAGAAATAGTCAAGTATTTTTAATATTACAACTGAAACCTTTAAAATGTTCAACGCGGTGTTTAACATTACTTACTTACTTACTTACGCCTGTTACTCCCAATGGAGCATAGGCCGCCGACCAGCATTCTCCAACCCACTCTGTCCTGGGCCTTCTTTTCTAGTTCCATCCAAATGTTGTCCATTTTTCTCATGTCTATTTCCATTTTTCGGCGTAATGTGTTCTTTGGTCTTCCTCTTTTCCTTTGGCCTTGAGGATTCCATGTGAGGGCTTGCCTTGTAATGCAGTTGTGTGCTCTCCTCAATGTGTGTCCTATCCACATCCAGCGCTTCTTCCTGATTTCTTCCTCCGCTGGGATCTGGTTTGTTCTCTCCCACAGTACGTTGTTGCTAATAGTGTCCGGCCAGTGGATCTGAAGTATTTTGCGTAGACAATTGTTAATAAACGCCTGTATTTTCTGGATGATGGCTTTTGTAGTTCTCCAGGTTTCTGCCCCATACAGTAGAACTGTCTTGACATTTGTATTGAAAATCCTGACCTTGGTGTTGGTTGACAGTTGCGTTGAGTTCCAGATGTTCCTCAGTTGTAAATATGCTGCTCTTGCTTTACCGATCCGCGCCTTCACATCTGCATCAGATCCACCATGTTCATCAATGATGCTGCCCAGATATGCAAAGGTTTTTACATCTTCCAAAGCCTCCCCGTCAATTGTGATTGAATTGGTGCATGCTGTGTTGTATCGGAGAACCTTGCTTTTCCCTTTGTGTATATTGAGACCTACTGCTGCTGAGGCTGCTGACACACTGGTCGTTTTCTCCTGCATTTGTTGTTGCGTTTGGGATAGAAGGGCCAGATCGTCTGCGAAGTCTAGATCGTCTAACTGCATCCTAGATGTCCCGTGCTTCCCTTCAGACGTTGATGTCTTCATGATCCAGTCGATAACCAGGAGAAAGAGAAAGGGTGAGAGTAGGCAACCTTGCCTAACACCGGTCTTCACTTCGAACGACTTTGTCAACTGTCCATCATGCACAATTTTGCAGTGTAATCCATCATATGAGTTCTGTATGATATTGACTATCTTCTGAGGCACGCCGTAGTGTCGAAGAAGTTTCCATAGTGTTGTTCTGTCCACGCTATCAAACGCCTTTTCGTAGTCAACGTGGCATCAGTGCTTGAAGTCACTAACTCCTAGTCTGAGCCATGTTGGTAGATGCAGACTACTTGGTTGGGGTCCGCGTGACTTTCGTAACCAATGGTTGGAGACTCTTGGTGACATGGCTCAGAATCGATCACAATGGCGTCGGTGTATACACTCCCTGTCTTCCCTTAAACCAAGAGACTAAAATCACTTCATTCTTTCTTTCTACGAACTAATTCTTTCTTCCTATACTATATCCTTATTGCAACCTTTGACCTAACCACTCCTATGAATCCGCTGTTCATCTTGCTGTGCTAATGAGGTATGGCAACCTGGACCGATGCACATATGTGCCTGGTCCTACGTTGTAGCTGACTGACTGACTGAGTCAATGAAGTTGATGTAGAGTGATGAATTCCATTCAATTGATTGTTCCACAATGATCCGTAGAGTTGCGATTTGGTCAGTACACGATCTATCCTTACGGAATCCTGCCTGTTGGTCACGAAGTTGGGCGTCTACGCAGTCCTTCATCCTGTTTAACAATACCCTGTTGAAGACTTTTCCCGGTATTGAGAGAAGAGTGATGCCCCTGTAGTTATCACACTTGCTGAGATCGCCTTTCTTCGGTATTTTGATTAGAAGTCCTTCTTTCCAGTCTTTTGGTACTTGTTCTTCATCCCAAATCTTATTGAAGAGAATGTGGAGTATCCTTGCAGTTGCCGCTACGTCTGCTTTTAGTGCCTCTGCTGGAATGTTGTACGGTCCTGCTGCCTTACCACTCTTGATTTGTCTGATGGCCATGCTGATTTCTTCAATTGTTGGTGGGCCAACATTGATTGGGAGGTCCGTGGGTGCTGCTTCGATGTTGGGTGGGTTCAGTGGAGCTGGTCGATTCAAGAGTTCTTTGAAGTGTTCTACCCACCTGTTTTGTTGCTCTTCAATGTTGGTGATTACCTCGCCTTCCTTGCTTTTCACTGGTCGTTCTGCTTTGCGGCGATTTCCAGAGAGTTTCTTTGTCGTGTCATACAATTGTCTCATGTTTCCTTCTCTTGCAGCCTTTTCCGCCGTCGTTGCTAAATCTTCCACATATTTACGTTTGTCGGTTCTGATGCTCCTCTTCACTTGTTTGTTAACTTCTGTGTATTCAGCTTGTGCCTTGGCTTTTTCTGCTCTTGTTCGACTGGTATTGATTGCTGCCTTCTTGTTCCTCCTTTCTTGAATCTTATCCAGTGTATCAACAGTGATCCATTCCTTGTGATGGTGCTTCTTGTGACCCAGAACCTCATGACATGTTGAAGTGATTGCCTCTTTGATCCCCTTCCAGTTGCTCTCCACAGTAGTCTCTTCTCCATTGAGTAGATCATGAAAGGCCTGAAATTTGTTGCTGAGGACTATCTTGAATTTGTTGAGTTTGTTAGTATCCTGAAGAAAGGCCGTATTGAACTTTTGTGATATTGTCCGCCCCGTTGTCCAGTGCTTCTTGAGTTTCAATTTCATCTTGGCGACCAGCAAGTGATGATCTGATGCTATATCAGCTCCTCTCTTGGTTCTCACGTCCTCTATAGTCCTCCTGAACGTTTTGTTGATGCAAATATGGTCGATTTGGTTTTGCGTGGTGTGATCCTGTGAAGTCCATGTGGTTTTGTGTATGCGTCTATGTGGGAATATGGTGCCGCCTATGACCAGTTTATTGAAGGCACATAGGTTTGCAAATCTCTCACCATTTTCGTTCCTTTCTCCTAGTCCGTGTCGTCCCATGATGTCTTCATATCCAGTGTTGTCCGTTCCAACCTTGGCGTTGAAATCTCCCATCAGAATGGTCAGGTCCTTTGTTGGGCACTTCTCGATGATTGACTGCAGCCTATTGTAGAATTGATCTTTAGCGTCTTCATTGTAGTCGTTGGTAGGCGCATAGCATTGGATGATGTTCATTGAAATGCCCTCTTTCTATGTTTTGAACGAGGCTTTGATGATCCTTGGTCCATGAGATTCCCATACTATAAGTGCATTTTGCGCTTGTTTGGACAGCATCAATGCAACTCCTTGTGTATGTGGGGCATTTTCTTCTTCATGGCCGGAGTATAACAGGAGCTCTCCTGTAGTTAGTCGTTGTTGTCCAACTTGTGTCCAATGTATTTCGGTGTTTAACATATACTAATAGAAAAGAAACTATTTTCCAGTTTGATTCAACAATGGAAAGTAGAGTAATTGACAGGGTATGTCTCTTGTATGAAGAGGGGCATAGTTCGTTTGTTTCGAATATAAACAAATTCAAAACACAATTGTTAACTTATAAAAAGTAGAGAGATTTTATTTGAAATGTTTGCTAATAGATGGGATTATACCGTAAACAATAGTACGTTAAACAACCTAGGGAAACTGGAAATTCGCACAGTGTGTTTGCCTATAATAAAGATTACCATTTACGTAATAGCTAGTAACACAAAAAATCCTGATGTTTTTTTGAAATCACTCAAAATTTCTAAGTCACTTTGCGACCGTTAGATATTGCGGGTAAGTAGATTAAATAAACACCAAAAGTTTGGATATCGATAGTGTTTTTCTGCTCATTTGAGGGTTACAGTTTCAAATAAATTAATCAGCATATAAAGAATTTAATAATGGAAACTAATTCTGCAGAATGAACGATTAATTTATTATAATTGTATTATACATGAGCAATTAGTTAATATATTATCAGTCAGTACATCAGTTCAAGTTGCCACATCACATTAGCACACAGATACAATTGTCGATTCAAATCCCGCAGTGGTAGAGGTAGTAAAGTATAAGCAGTAATCGGAAAGATTAGGGTTTGAAGATGTTATTCAACGAGTATAATCCAGTGAAATAAATTTGGGAAGAGAAAAAACGAAAGGGACATGAAGAATTCAGAAGATTAGAATTCTGTAGAACACAAAGAGTTGATGCACTTGCACCATTGCAAACGATTTTGAGCCACGTCATTCAAGGTCTCTAACCATCGGTTGCTATCACCTCGCAGATCCCAACCAGGTAGTCTACACCTACCAACATGACTCAGTTCACTTGTCATTGACTTCATGGATTTGTGCCATGTTTTGGTCTGGCCGCCCCTAGCTTTCTTCCAACCTACTCCTACACCATAAAACACCGCACGTCAGAGCAGTCGGTGGTTATGCATACGTAACACGTGTCCAAGCCATATTTTATGATTTCCTTTCTTGTATTTTATAAGTTGTTCGTAAACTAACTGTTCACTCATTGGTTGGTACACTTTATAAATGTTCAATTATACTATATGGATCAGTCATTCAGTAACAACGTAGAACTTCGTAAGTACGTACATCAGTTCAAGTTGCCATAAAGTATGGGTAAATTTTATCCTTGTCTGTTTTGACAGTCGACTGTTACTACTGAGTTTCTCATTTTAAATAAGCCATAATCTAAGCTAATAATTATCTAGTGTAAAATCATTTATTATTTGAGCATAATCATTAATAGAAATATTCTGAAAAAGTCAAAATAATCTACTGACTATAGTCGACCTCGATCACTTTAGGCTAGTGAATCTAATAAAATGAATTGTTTTTTTTATTATGAGGAAGAATGAACTGAAACAAATATCAAAATAACATACAAACTATGTACAATGTAGCCAATACCTTCATGGAAACAAATTGTGAATTATTTGCATTCAACTCATTTCTAAACATTAACATATTGAGAGAATAGAATACACATTAAAATATGATTTGGAAGATAATGAATGGAATGAAATCATGCCATGGAACATCATCAATTATCACTTTCTAATATCTAACAGCTAGTACAGCTAGGATATTCGACATTTTTCCATCTAATACAAATCAAACTGTTAATGGTTTTATAGTCTTGCCAATTTCTTACGTATAAAAAATTAATTTTCACCCACCAAGTGATAATAATAATAATTCAAAGAAAAATTCCATAAACGTGAATATGAACTCATCTTACTTGAAAAACAAGTGCAGGAAAATTAAAACGAACAATTGCGTGTCCAGCTTGTTCTAAACGTAATTGAGCTTTTGTAAACAATTTGAAACATATATCTGGATCTAGACTTTTAGGACTTGGTCCTAGAATATGTAGCATACCAGCTATTAAACTTTGTGCATCAATAAATTCATTTGGATCTTCACATGCATTAGGATCAGTTGTTAACAATCCATCAATTAATTCAAATAAATTATCTAGATCTGCTTCAGTAGTCAAACGTGATGATAAATGAGCACATGACGATGATGAATCTTTATTTATATCATGTTTATAATTATTTTGAGTAAATTGTAACACTTGACGCTGACGTTGATCACGTTCTAAAGCAGCATTCAATAGATCATAAGCTAATCGACATTTAGTAGTTTTTGGATCTAATAATGAAACTAAACGTCGAAATCCGGACATTCCTAGCACTGTGCGTAAATCGCTAAGTGATGATATAGGAGCAGTTATACGATGAGCACCACTCATTGATTGGGGAAATGTACCATCTAATGGTAGATACAGGAGGCGAAGTAAATCACGTGATAATGAAGATCCTGAAGGTATTCTGTAAATAGAAACATATATATTTACTTAGATTATGTTTTCTGAATTAATATTATGATCAGTAATACAATTTTCAAAAGCGGAAAAACATAGGACAATGTTGGTTGAAAAACATTTGGATACATCCTAGTACATTGGATTTCAGAACTCATAGAGACATTCAACAGGAAGGGGTGTAAATCAACACTACTGTGTTAAATTATGGAATTGCGGTTTAGAGGGGTTTTCGACACTTCATTTTAAATCAGACCTACAAACTAAATATATCTTTTTGGCAGTCTTCATAATACAAACATGTAAACATTTCAATCCTACAAGAGGATAGTCTCTGCCTCGACAGTTTGATGGTAACGTCTCTAACCATGATCGACATACACAAACTTGAATTCTACGACGGACATTAGATCACTTAAGATTGGAAACAGATTTTATTGGTGAATACCAACCATTTCGAAATCTATATCTACGGTATTGGCTATCGATTATCATCAACTATTTAACAAAAATAAAAGCTATTGATGAATGACTGATAAAATCATATTTTTATCAGAGCTGTTATAAATGGCATGAAACTTAAACATCACTGAATATTCAAATTCAGTAGTTACGTATACATATAATTAATCGTAAAGCACGATTCTAATCAAACCTCTTCTATATAAAGTATTAACTGTTTGACCTTATCATGTTTAGTGTGTTTTAAAATTTATGGTTCTGCGTAGCTGTCGATATGTCCTTGAAATGAACCAACTAATCATTATCATCTTACTAAAAAAAATAATGAAAAATGAAATTTTTTGATCAGTCACTTGTATAAATTTGTTACTGATGAAAGTAAGTAGTATTTCATTGATGTTCCATTGACAACAAAACAAAACACTAAATCCCTTGCCCATGGAAACAACAAGCAGTGAATTGTTGTTAATGGGACTAGACATAGCCAGCTTCAAATCACTAGTCATAGTACTAATTACAACTGAAAATGAATCTTGTCTCACAAAGCTAATATTAATTGTAATGACATAAAATCATGCGATGATAGTGAGTGATCAACTTAATAGTAGATGTTTATATTATGAATATCAAGAGTTTGAAATATCCCGTTGTTCATATTTCTGACTGACTTTTGAACAGTGTTTGTCGATAAATGTTCATTTTGTGGCTACCTGGATCAGTGTATAAATTTCTGGGTATTTAAAGCGAAAGGTACAGAGTCCGAGTACCAGTCTTGCTTCGGTCTGGGCACCCGGGTAGTATCACAGCCCACACACAAATCAAGTGACTTGTGTGGCGCATATATATTCGGTGCCCCTTTGTACCGAGTACCAGTGTGTACATCAACACTTGGATACACATACATCAAGCTGTCGAGTTCCAATCACGTCAAACATGAACTATGGATTCTACTGCTAGTTATAATCCATCTATTCTACGAATAGCATATATCTTTCTAAAAGAAAACAGTTCATACATAAATCAAAACAAAATTTTTGGTAGGATTCTGATAGAAGTTCAAATCTGATCTATGTATAAGTAGTTATACACGATCATCATTACATCTTTTCAATTAGTTTAAATAGTCTTAAAAAAAACCCAACTGTTTCTCTTTGTCTTTTTTTTTCTTCAACTTACAGAACTAGACCAACATGATTCAATGCATCCGCTGTAGCATTTAAACAAATATCAATTAAGGAAGAACAATTATTTGGATGAATTATCATAGCTAAATAAACTAAAACTGAATAAAATGCTGGAATATCTTCTAATGGTAAACCATTCATTATTGCTACAGTTTGTATTGTAGGACGAGTTTTCATATTATTATTATTATTATTATTATTAGATGATGATGATGATGATGATAATTGTAAATTATTCAATGTTAATTCACATAATGTTAAACGTGCATGAATAATTTGATTTACTTCATAGAAGAATAATGAGAAAAGATCAGTTGTTGTTGTTGTGGTTGTGGTTGTTTTTGTTGACATGGAAGTTTGATCAATATTAGTAGAAGTATTCATTTCATTCTTTATTATGTTCTCTTGATTTTGATTAGAGCTTTTTAATTGAACATCATAAACTGTTGATAAAGATATATCTTCTTCATTATGTAGAGAAGAATGATTGCCGTTATTATTATTATCATCATCATTACCGTTAATATTATTACAAGACGGTTTTGCTTTAATTGGTGAATAATTATTGCATGATACTTCAATTTTTAATTCACGTCCAGCTTCTAATTCAGTAGCTACATGTTTAGACAAACTAATAATAAGTAAGTAAGAAATAAAATAACAAAACCGATTAAGTGAAATGTATAATAAATCAATATAAGTGAATAATATAAGTTAGGGTAACCCAGTATAGTATGTATTATATGATTTGAGCCATATCTACTTTATAAAAATAATAATATTTCGATGTCTAAGCTAAAATTAAGCTACTAGCATATGATTGAAAATGGCTTTAAAACATGACTTTCATATGTTGCGATCATTGAGTTAGGAATGTTGAAGTTAGACTCAGAGTAATAGATAAGAATGATAAATCAGTTAATTAGGTAGTTGGGAGATGTGTTACATTTGTACAGCCATTTTCAATCTTGATGCACAATGTTTGCTGATGTAGGAGTGGATTGAAATAAAGTTAGCTGTAGCCAAATCAAGACACGAATTCAATCCACAAAGTCATTGATAATTGGGTTGAGCGGTATCGGTAGGTTTAGGCTAACT